AAAGATAAAAATGAAACCGTTGGTTCATCCCACTAAGGCGGGCTGTAAAACACCCAGACTAGGGGTGGATGGGGCTTTGCTCCTCGCATGTACAGGCATTCCCAACCTCTTCTCCCTCCTGTGCCATACCTGTCCTGGTCCTCTCTGCCTGCCCTCTCCCTCTTATTCTTTGCTGCGCTATTTGTTCCCAGAACGGTAACTGAAGAATCATGGGAGGAAAGATTTAGAACTAGAAGGGATCTTGGAGTTCATCTAATCTAACCTCCCTCCTTCATCGTACAAATGAAGAAACTGAGTCCCAAGTGTCAGGGGTAGGATTTGAACCTAGATCCTTGGACTCCAAGATCAGTGCTCTTTCACGGTTAACCCTGATGTCTCCCACTGACCTCGAAACAGTGTCCTGGAGGCTAATAAGGAAAGGCATCCTGGAGAAGGTTAATTTTAAGGAATGAGAAGGAGAAGAAGAGAGGATTCCAGAGAGAAGAAAATGCCTTTTGGAAAGGAGAGAACAAAAAGAGTTGTAGGTTAAAGCTTTGACGAGTAACAAAAGTAAGAAATTAGAAGAAGAGTGTGGCCAAGGGTCTTAAAAGCTGAGGAGGAAATGACAGTAGGCTCTTGAGCAAAGGAGGGACCCGTGTCCTCTGCCTCTACTCCAGGTATCTGGCTTCCCTCCGAGGCCACGTGGCAGCCGTGTACCAGATCGCCTGGTCTGCAGACAGCCGGCTCCTGGTGAGCGGGAGCAGTGACAGTACGCTCAAGGTGTGGGACGTGAAGACCCGGAAGCTGGCTGTGGACCTCCCTGGTCACGCTGATGAGGTAGCCGCACCCCAGGATTCAGAGGGAGGGAGGGAAGGAATGATGGAGGGAGGACCAGGGCGGGGTGTGGGTTGCTGCTGCCTCACTTGACTTGGCTTTGACTTAAAATGTCTTCCTCTTGGTTCAGGTGTTTGCTGTGGACTGGAGTCCGGATGGCCAGCGGGTGGCAAGTGGTGGGAAGGACAAATGTCTCCGCATGTGAGTCTGGGGCTCTGAGGGATCAGCCAGCTCTTGAAGGCTGGGCTGTCGCTACCCGCTGTTTCCCTCCACGTGCCCCCTGGGCAGGTTCAGCATCTTTTCCACCAAAATACAGAATTCTGGGTTCCTTTTAAAGCACTTAGGCCAACTCTTGGGTCCCTCAGCTTTTCTGAATCTGTTCTTAAATGGATCACTGATCTAAGATCTCTCAGACGGCAGCTGGGGGATTGGGGTGGAGGGACAGGAACAGAGGCTGGCACAGTGTGGCACACTTACAATCCTTCCTCAGACACTTCCTAGCTGAGTGACCCTAGGCATAGTCACTTAACCTCTCTGTGTCTCAGTTTCCTCATCTGTATAATGGGAGATGTTGTCCTGGATGGCCTCTAAGGGCCCTTCTAGATCTAAATTCAGTGATGCTTTGATTGGGAGGGGAGAATGACAGAAGGTTGAGCTGTATGTAGTAGAGAGGTCCTGCAGGAGGGTCAACCCCAGCCGGCATCACTGAGCCTTGTGGGGTGCTGGAGAGGGGAGCTGGAGCAGAGTGTCAGGTCCCTCCCACCGGGAGCCTGAGACACCCAGGCTCTCATCCTGGGGGTCAGGTGGGGGAGGCACAGCCGCAGCTGGGTGGTCCAGGTTCCTTCTCAGGCCTTCTTGAATGAAGAGCCCTTTCTCACCGAGAGCTCTGTCCTGATGCTTTCTTTTGTCCACAGATGGAGGAGGTGAGAGCCCGGAGCCTTCCCGCCCCTTCCGCTCTAACACTGTGAATCCACAGCTCCATCTGTACCCTCCGCTAGCCGTCTTGGGGGCTGCAGGCAGGCTGGCTTGTCGGGGAGTGGGACAGGCGTTCTGCAGTCAGCGATGGCCGGACCAAAAGATGGTCAATGCAACCGTTGGACACGTGTGACGTAGGACGCGGATGGAGACGGGCGCGGCAAGGCGTGTGACAAGGGGCAGTGACCTTGGACCCCGAGCTGCAGCCGGAGAAGACGCGGAGGGCCTCCTGCAGGCCTCCACACCTGCCGCTTTTTATTCCCCTCTAAATGTTGACTTCCTCCAGAGTAGGATGCCTCTCTTTTGCCAAATAAATAAGTTATTTTTCTGTGGTTTTTTGTCATCAAATCCCGAGCTCTGGCAAAATCCTGGGACAGTCCTCTTGTCAAGCCCCCTCCCTCCCTTTGGCTAAGGCTACAGCAAAGCCGTCTCAGACAGAAAGTTTTGCCTTTGATATCTTCTGACCTTCATGGCCTCTCTCTTCATCCTCCTTACCTCGTTCTTTGGTCCAGCCCAACCAGTCTTGTTGCTCCTCACCCTGACATTCCATCGCTGAACTTTTGCCTAGGCCGTGCCCCATACCCAGCATGCCCTCCTTCCTCACTTCTACCTTTTTGAATCCCCAGTTTCTTTCAAAACTCAGCTCAGGTGCCCCCTCTTTGGGTCTTAGAAGCCTAGATTTAGAGCTGAGACATCATTGTGGTCCTACTTCATTTTACAAATGAAACTAAAACAAAGAGGTTAATGATGATGCTGGTGATAATCTAGCATTTATATAGTAACTTAAGGTTTGCTAAAGTGTTTTACTAAGTCCTTTCCTGATCACTGCCTTTTTTTAAAAAAAATGTTCTTTGTATTCAATTGAAAGTGTATGTTTTGTCTCCCTAAATAGAAAGTGAGCTCCGTAAAGGCAGGAAAGGTTTAATTTTTGTCTTTTATCTCTCAGGGCTTGGCATATAGTAGGTGATTAATAAATGCTTGTTGACTGATTTCCCTCCCCAGTCTCCCTTCCCCAGTCCATTTTTTCCCCCGCACAGGAGAGGAAATAAAAGCCCACCACAGTTTTCAAAAGCACAGACAGGAACCAAAAGGAACTTCCGGATCTAGTGTTTTTTTGACCCACCTCCACCCTCATAAGAGTCTGAGGCAGGATTTGAACTCGGGTCTTCCTGGCTCCACTCCTCTATCCAGTGGGCCACCCAGAGGGGTCCAACATTAGGTGGCCTCCCAGGTCTCTTCTAGCTCTGGTCCTGTGATAATCATGCCACTGAGCGGTGATGCTTCGATGAAATCAGGCATAGAAAATGCTTTGCAGACATTAAAATGCCTTAATCTCAATGCTGCTGCAACTGTCTCTCAAGGACTCTAAGCCCGGGGAAATAATATGCCCATGCTCCTCCAGCTGTCGTTGTGCCCTTGGTAAAGGAGTCCAGGAGACCACACTCGGGTCTATTGGTTGAATTCCAAAGTCACCCTAGTGTGAGCTGCCTTAGGACCCAGGTCTAAAACTTTCCCTCCTTGTGAGTCGCTCTTTCCACTTTTCTGTGATTAACTATTAAATCTTAAAAACTGCAGAAAGACTTGGGATTGTGTGTGTGTGTGTGTGAGAGAGAGAGGCAACCTGGCTTCTCATAGAAAGAAGCTCATTGTGAGTAGGGATTATATCTTTTTTTTTTATTATTATTATTTGCATCTCCAGGACCTCTAAGCACAGCTTCCCAGGACATAGTAGGTACTTGATAGATAAATGCTTTTTTTTAAAAAATTGATGATTTGGGGCAGGTTGGTGGTGCAGTGGATAGATCATCGGCCCTGAAGTCAGGAGGACCTGAGTTCAAATCTGGCCTCGAAACAAACACTTGATACTTACTAGCTGTGTGACCCTGGGCAAGTCACTTAACCCGAATTGCCTAAAAAAAAAATGATTTGTGGACTAAATATCCTTGGAGGGAAATCTAGAATCTGTGTGTGTCTTGACCCAGGTGTTCCCACTGCTTGAACCTTAAGTCCAGAGAGAGCCTGGGTGGGGCTGAAGTTAGAAAACCAGAGTCCAAATACCTGTCATAGCTCTCACCTCCTCCCTATGGGACCTGGATGGAGGAAGTCACCAGGTGACCAGGCTTCAGCTTCCTCATCTGTAAAATGAGGTCCTTTACCAGCTCTAAATCTCTGGTTGTGAACCGGAGTTGCATAAATGCTAGGCCTCAGTTTCCTTATCAGTCAAAATAGAGGAATAGACTAAGATGACCTTTCTAAGGTCCCTTTCTAGCTCTAACTCTGGTTATAACCCTAAGTCATATAGCCTCTGGGCCTCAGTTTCCTTATCAGTAAATTTAGAGGATTGGACTTAAGATGGCATTTCTAAGGTCCTGTGAATCTGGTTGCGACCCATCATTAAAATCTGAGCCTCAGTTTCCTCATCTGTAAAATTAGGCTATTGATTCCAGCTCTAGATCTTTGCATCCTATGTTTCCCTCCACTTGATGAACCCTTTGATATAGTAGATGAAGAACATGGGGCACAGAGAAATTAAACTCCAAAGTCACGTAGGTAGGAAGAACCCAGATTTTAAAATCCTAGAGGTTAATCTAGAATTTTGCAAAAGTTCTTTACAGGTGTTAATTTATTTGATCCTCCCAATGACCCTGTGCACATACAGGTGCTCTTATTACCCCCATTTTACAGGTGAGGAAATTGAGGCAAACAGGCTAAGTGACCTGTCTCCAAAGTCACACAGCTGAATCACACACACAATCTGAGCCCAGCTCCTCTGACTCAACATACGTGACAGCTTGTCCGACTCTATGTATATTGCTTTCTGACTTTGTCCTTTCTGACTCTGGGATATGTCCCCCCTCACTTCAAGGCAAGCACCCTGAGGGCCGAGAGGTGTTTATAGCTCTTTAATGAGGACGTGCTGTGAGTCCAGCTCTGAGGGGGGAAGGAAGGAGCCTGCCAGAAGCTATAGTCAGTGGCTCGACCTGGCTGCCAGCCAGTCTGAGGCTACTTGGGTCCAGTTAAGTGGGGGTCCTGCCGCATCATGTCCCCGCCAGGGGGTCGAGAGGCAGGGAAGCTGGGGCATTCCAGGGCTTGGGCAAGCAGAGGTGGGGCTCATCAGTGCTATGCTCTGTGTTGGTGCTAGACGAGGCTCCTGAGGGGCCCTGAGCGGGGGCCGAATAAATGGGTGAATGGTTGGGGCCGGAAGAGCCCTCTTAGTTGGGAAAAATGAATTCCAAGTCCTCCAGTCTCCTCAGCTCTTTGACCCCAACGTGTACCGTTTTCCTCTGGGGTTCTCGACGAAGCACGGTGATTTGGATGGGGTTCTCCTTGGGGAAGCCACTCACATTAATGGCCAGTGTGGAAAACTGAGTCAGAGAGAAAAAGAAAGCGGTGCTCGTTTCGCTCCTTTTCTAAATTCCCATTTTGATTTCCCACCCTAATTTTATTTCCCACTCTAATTCTATTGCTGCACCTCTTTGTCCCCAGTATACTCCCCTCAGGTTTCCAACTTCTTCCCTGGTTCCTATTTCCTACCCCCCCCCCATTTTCCTCCCTCAACATTTCCTCCCTCCATGCCCCCAACAATCGGGTTATTCCATAAAACGCTTATTAAATGCCTACTATGTGCCAGGCACAGATGACAAAAAAAAACCCGAACAAACCCCAGTTCCTGTCTCGAGAAGCTTATGCTCTACAAGGGGAGACGTGTGTGCGCGCTCTTTAAGGGGAGGGAACAGTTTATCCCCAAGCTTAGAGGTGCCTGGCACATAATTCTTATTGTTTAGTCTTTTCAGTAGCGTCCTACTCTTCATGACCCCATTTGAGGTTTTCTTGGCAGAGATACTGGAGTGGTTTGCCATTTCTTTCTCCGGCTCATTTTACAGATAAGGAAACTGAGGTACAGAGGGTAAAGTGACTTGGCCAGGGTCACACAGCTAGTGTTTGAGATCAGATTAGAACTCAGAAGGATGAGTCTTCCTGACTCCAGGCCTGGTGCTCAATCCACTGCCTGCCACCTAACCTGGCACATAGTAGGTATTTAGTAAGTATTTAATAAGTGCTTGTTGTCTGGTTCTATTTATTCAATTTCCCAGTATCTGTACAAATACACAAATAGCCTAGAGCACTGGATCTCAATTTTCTATGCTTGCTAAGGTAGCGGAGGAGGAGAGGAAGTAGGCAATGGTTATAGAGGATCCTCAAAGCCCTGGGTTTGAAAGCTTAATTGTGGGTCCACAGCTCTGGTAGGATGGCAGATTTTTAAGAACTAAAAGGGACCTTAGAAATTCATTTAGCACCAATCCCCTCATTTCATAGAGGAGGAAACTGAGGCCTAGAGAGCTTAAAGTGAACCTGCCTGAAGTTACAGAGATAGTAGGGAGCACAGCCCAAAGCTAAACCTAGGTCTTGAGATGCCAAATCCCATACTCTTTACCTGGCTTAGAGTAACAGTAAAAATACAAAATGGGAAGATTTTGTATGGGATTAGGGGCAGTTAGGCAGCACAGGTTATGCTGGGGATTGGAGTTAAAATCTGACCTCAGTTACTTACTAGCTGTATGATTCTGAGAAAGTCACTTGACCTCTGCCTGCCTCAGTTTCCCTATCAGTACAATGGCAAAATAATACATTACCTTCCTTCCCAAGGTAATTGTGAAGATGAAATGAGATAATATTTGTAAAGTGCTTTGCTAACTTTAAAGGGCTACGTGTAAATCTATTATTCCAGCTTGGAAAAGGCCATGAAGGAAGGTTCTGTCTTTCTGTCTGTGTGTCCGTGGGTCTGTCTGTCTCTCCCTCCCTGTAGTTGGCACTGACTGCGCCTCGCGGTTCCCTTCCACTCTCCCCCTCCTCTCCAGGGACGACGGGCCTGGACTCACTTTGTAGGGTTTGCACCATTCCCCTGGGCCTGCTAGGTTAGCAGCACGGATCCTGATGTAGTACTCGGTGTTCGGCTTCAGTTCCATGAGCTTGACAGACGTGCCCGTGATGTGGTTGAAGATCCAGGGGCAGTATTTTTCCCTGGGCATCTCATTCTTCACTTTGTCTTTCTTTAGCTCTGTCTCCTGCAGGAGAACCTGGTAGAAACTCACCCGCTGCTTGCCTTGGCTCCTGTTCCAGGTGATCTGGGGGAAGAGAGAACCCACACGGGCTTCCTTGTACCCAACCCATTCACAGCACCTGGAACATGAGTGGAAGCGCTTAAGAAATGCTTGCTGACATGGCTCGGTAGGGGACAAATACTCGTGGAATCATGGGAATCTAGAAGGAAACTCAAAGGCCATCTTTAGTCTAATTCCCTCAAGTTACAGATGAGGAAACTGAGGTCTAGGGGAGTGAAATGGCCTTTAAGATCCTAACTCTAGGAGCCAGAAGAGACCACAGAAGCCATCTATCCCAGGTTCCTCATTTTAAAGACAAGGAGAGGCAGTAGATAGAGCACTGGCCCTAGAGTCAGGAGGACCTGAGTTCAAATCGGACCTCAGACATTTATTAGCTGTGTGACCCTGGGCAAGTCACTTAAGCAGGATTGCCTCCCCCAAAAATAAACAAGCAAAGAAAATAAAGGTGAGGAAACCCAGAGAAGTTTAATTGACTTGCCTATGGTCACACAATAAACATCAGGAGGCAAGATTTGAACTCAGATCCTCTAACTCCAGAGCCAGGAATCTTTCCAGGTTGCATCTATGACTCTTAGTATGGAATGAGTCACAAGGTTTATTGTACCCTTAAACTTGACTTCAAAGGATCATAGATTTAGAACCGAAAGCAAACTCTGAGGTCAATGAATCCAACCTACTATTATTAATTTTACCAATGGGGGAAACTGAGGCCTGGAAAGGTTTAGTGACTTTACTCCAGGTCACACAGGTGGGAGTAGCAGAGCTGGGATTTGAAGCACAGGTCCTCAGATCTCAAATCCAACTCTCTTTCCCACTGTAGCAGCTGCTCTTTGGGTCCTATTCCTGAGGCACAATTCTGAGGATGTTATCAAGAGGAAAATAGGACCATTATGCTGCTGCCCAAAACTATTCATCCATAATTGTTTTATTTGTAATAGCAAAAAATTGGAGGGGAAGAAAGCAACTGAGAATACCAATAACAATTGGAGAAGAGTTCTATGAACTGTAGTATATGTTAATATAATGGAATCCTATTGGGCTAGATAAAAATGACATGTGAAGAATATCAAGAAATTTGGGAAGGATTGTCCAAGAGTGAGGTCAGGTGAACAATCAGGCCAACTTTCCACGGACCATGGCAAACAATAGGAGACATAAATAGATGTCGAGAAGGCAAGGAAACTTTACAAACAAGAACTCTCAGAACCGTTTGGAAGGAGGAAACCAATAACAACTCAATTGTTATTATTATTTTGTTCAAATTTACGTTAGTATTTTTTCCAAGTAAAGTATAAGTTCAAATTTTGGAGTTTTTATCTGAGGGCCAACTCCACATTTTGCTTGTTTTTTTTTGAGTGTTACTAAATTTCCAATAATAATTAAATAATTTTTAAATGATTAACCTACACTCAGTCCAAGTTGCACCCTGACTCCATCCATATCTCTTCCCTTCTGGTGTGTAGAGCATTGTACTTCATTCATTCATTCCTCTACCCATTCATTCATATTTATTCATTTGCTGCCTGGTCAATGTGAAAGTGAAATTTTCTGCCATTTCTTTAGATTGAGAACCAAAAGGCCTCCGAGGCCTCCCATATCATCCACTCCTCATTTATTCATTTCCTCACTCATTCTTTCACTCATTCCTTCATTCACTCATCCATTTAATTCGTTCATTCGCTCATTCTTTCACTTACTCATTCACTCACTCATTTCTTTCATTCACTCATTCTTTCACTTATTCATTCATTCACTCACTCATTCTTTCACTTATTATTCACTCGCTCATTTCATTCATTCACTCATTATATTCATTCACTTACTCATTCACTCACTCATTCACCCTTCTTTCATGGAAGTTTGAGTTTTTTCCCTCGCTGCCCCCATCAGACAACGTCACCCACCACAGCTGTGGAGTCACTGACGGTGTGCTCACAGATGAAGGGGACTTCGGGGATATCCACAACCACAGGAGACTCTGAGGAAGTAGAGATGGTGTCTACATCCGTCTCAGGGTTGTCCAGATCCAGGGGGACAAAGTTCGTCACTAGGGGCTCGGAATGGCTGGAACAGATGGACCGGTCCCCCTTCTCATTGTTCTCGGCCAAGGAGGCCAAGCTGAGCTTTGTCAGCTGTCTTTCCAGCAAGTCTAAGAAGCTGTTGCTGTTGGGCTGATACGGGGAAAATTCGAATGTGTTCAGCATGCTGGTGGGAATGGGGGAGTCGCTGGAGACTTCAGAACTAGACTCTTCTGACTCGAAAGGCTGACTAGGGAGGACAAAAACAACAAAGCATGCTGGAAAGGTGACAGCTGGACAGCCCTGGTCCATCCCATGGTTGGCCCGTAGAGATCACTTCAGGGATGCATCATTTGCTAAAATCACTGCGTGCCCACAACTCAAATCAACTCAAATGAGATATTTGTAAAGTGCTTAACAGAACATAGTGGATGCCATATAAATGCTTCCAGAGGTGGGGAACCTGTAGCCTCGAGGCCACATGTGGCCCTCTAGGTCCTCAAGGATGGCCCTTTGACTAAAGACATAGGGTGCCACATGCGGCCTCGAGGCTACAGATTCCCCACCCTTGCATTCCTTTCCTCCTTCTCTCCTTCCCTTCCCTGCCTCATGGTACTAAATTTAATTCAATTCAGCAAGCATTTACCAATTGCCTCCTAAGTGCCAAGCACTAACTAGGCACTGTAAATACGGAGACAAAACCAGCATATATAGTCCCTTGTCCTTAAGTAAGTTTACCTTTCAAGACCTATCTGGAAAGATAAGTTGGAGCCAGATTGTAAAATGCCAAACTACTTTATCTTAGAGGCAATAGAGAACTTACTGAGGCTTCCCAAAAAGCAGCGACTGAGGTCAGAGCTATGCTTTACTATGCTTTAGTAATATCAAGGATCTAGAATGGTGAGGTGCACCACCAAGCAAGACATCCAGTAGGCACCATTGAACTGAAGTAGTTGGAGGAAACCACGGTCTGTGTTTCTCTGTATTCTATGATGATAGAATCCATTTTTCTCCTCCCCTCCTAGCTATAAGGTTTTGCGAAGTTTGGGGGTAGTTATAGGGGCAGGGGGATTGTGTCATTCCAAGAGCAGCTGACACTAGAAGGGAAATGAAACCAACTAACTAGATGGGAGAAGATAAAATTGCATTGGTGGTAGAGAGTAGGTGGAAAAATATGTCAACCCACTCTCATCTGAATACAAAGGTTTCCTCCTCATCGTCCCAAGAATGCAGGGAACAGGTTGATCATGGGTCAAAGAAATTGATCCTTTCTCTAAAGGCTGCCCTGTCTGTTCCTAAGCCTTGTTCTTCTATAAAGAATGAAAGGAGGGATGGTGCTGGTCCTTACATCTCTTCTGAGTCTCCTTCCTCAACAAGGGTAGGCTTGGTGCATCTTGGGGGCATAGTGAACCCCTGGACAGAGAACCTCCGATCCACATGAATTGGGAACAACTTCTTAAATTGGCTAAATGGATCCTTCTTGTTGGAAATGTTTTGGTCCAAATCCTCCTCATCCTCCTCTTCCACTCTCCAGAGGACCCCAGATGCCATCTGCCTTCGCAAAGTGAGACCGAGAGGCTCAGTCACCAAGCAGGCTGGAAGCAGACATAAACTGTCAATGCAGCCTCTGCAGCCCTTGATTTTGGGGGGTGACTAGGGGGTGATGTCACCATGATACCAAACTGTAACAATTAGGTTTCCCCTGCCCCCTGATTGGTGGCTATTGCCATGAGGTCACTGTAGTACCAGATAGCCAGGACCAGAGATAGATGGAAGGGAGAGAAATCGGAGGACCTGGGGATGAGAGTGGGGATAAATGTGGGTGGGTTAGTTGCATGTTTAAAATAGGGAAACTCTAGACTTTCTCTGAAATCTATGGATTTTCCTCATGCACATGCACTTTTTGGGGGAACAGGGAGACATGTTGATTTGTGTTGATGACATAGGGAAAGAAATTCTGATGTAGGAATCAGAAGACTTGACTTTTAGTTTTGTCACTAGCTGTGGGACCTTAGGCAAGTTTCACTTCCCTTTGGGCCTCAGTTTCATCATTAAATTCATCACCAATAGCTAGCATCTATGCAGGGTTTACCATCTGCCAGACACTGTGCTAAGCACTTTCCAATTATCAATTCATTCGATCTTCACAACAACCCTGGCAGGTAGGTGCTCTTCTTATCCCCGTTTTACAGACAAGGAAACTGAGGCAAACATAGTTAAGTGACTTGCTCAGAGTCACAGAGCTAGGAAGTATCCCTGACTGAATCTGAACTCAGGTCTTTCTGACTCCAGCCTCAGCACCCTATCCACTGCTCCACCTAGCTGCCCCTTTTCATGTCTCCAGTGAGATGACTGGTCTATAGATTAGGGGTCCTTAATCTGGGGACCTATGAACTTGTTTTTAAAAATAAATTTTGGTAACTATTTCAATAGAATTGGATTACCTTGTAATCCAGTGTATTTTAGTTTATGCATTTAAAACACGATTCTGAGAAGGCGTCAGTAGGCTTCACTGGGCTTCGCCCAAGAAGTCCAGGACACAACAGAAGTTAAGCACCTCTGCACTAGAGAATCTCTAAGGTTCACTGAGGTAAACAGTCAATAAATGTTCATGACCACCACCTGCTTATGTGCAGAAGCCACTCTTTCTTTTTTCTGAAGATCTCAAAGCAATTTATAGAGCTATCCTGGTGGGGTGGGGGTGGTTGTCCTGATTTTGTAGAGAGGGACGAGGAAGCCTTGGCAAGCCCCTCTCTGTCAGAATAGGGACAGAACCCAGCAGTCCTTCACATCCTGGAACCCTGGGGTGGGAGGAATCCATAGCAAACCTTTATTTCTTGTGATGATAAGAGAGAGAAGCTGGGGGGCAGAAAAAAATCCTGAGATAATCCACAAGGGCTCTGAAGGCTAGTGACTATTCTTCATTCATTCATTCATTCTGTCAGAGGTATATGTGGAAGCAGACAATCTGGCTGAGTTCCTGGCTTGCTGACTTTGCTAGTCATCTTAAATCACCCCCATTCTCTGGGCTTAAGTTCCCTCATCAGTAAAATGGGGGGACCAGATTACATCAGTAGTTCTCAAAGGTTGGGTGCTAAATTTCTCTAGGTATGCTGTAGAACACTCCCTCCCCAATTCCTTACAACAGAATGATAAAAACAGAAAATTTGTGAGCAAAAAATGTTTGAGGACCACTGGACTTAAGAGATGATATCTAAGTTGTTGTTCTAGACCAGGGGTGGAGAACTGGAAGCCTTCAGGCCACACATTCTGGCCTTCTAGGTCCTTGGGTTCAGCCTTTTGACTGAGTCCAGGTTTTACAGAACACATCCTTTTATTTATTTATTTTTGGCTAGGCGATAGGGTTCAGTGACTTGCCCAGGGTCACAAAGCTAGTAAGTGTTATGTGCCTGAGGCCTGATTTGAACTCAGGTCCTCCTGGCTCCCACTGCACCACCTAGCTACCTCCTTCATTTATTTATTTATTTGTTTATTTATTTATTTATTTGTTTGTTCATTCATTTATTTATTTACAAATCCTTTTATTGAGGGGATTTGTTCTGTGAAGTTTGGATTCAGCCAAAGGGCTGCACTTGAGGACCTAGAGGGCCACATGTGGCCTCAAGGCCGCAGGTTCCCTATTCCTGTAGTCTGGACCCTTACTGAGGTAGAAAATTCCTGAAGAGGGAACGTCTATGCACCTGCTCAGTAATTCAGAGTCTTCAGGGACTCCTCAGGTGCTTGAGAGGTTCTTGCCCAGCTGGGCTCACAGGACCTAATATGTGTATAAACCCCAGTCTTCCTGATTTTTGTTGAACCTCTTCTCTCCTTGCCTCAACTTTTCCAGGAGATGTGACAAAAATGAATAAAAGAGTATGTGTTGTGGGGGTGGGGGAGATTAGGGGGTCTGCATATGGGAAGAGCGGAGGAAGGAAGGGCAGATACTAAAAGGGCCCTCCATGATCCTTAAAGGGACATCACAGACAGGGAAAAGATACGACAAGGAAATGAAGATTGGTGGGAAGAAAGAGAAGGAAGGAAGGAAAGTAGGGAGGAAAGAAAAGAAAGGAGAGGGGAGAAAGAAAGGAGTGACAGAAGTTAAGAGAAGAAGAAAGAAGGGAACAGAAGAACAGGAAGGAAAGGGGAAAGGAAGAGAAGGGAAAAAACAAGGAAGGGAAGAAACAGGGAAGTTAAGGGCAAGAAGAGGGAGGGAATGAGGAGAGAAGAAATGAAAGATGGGAAGGGCAGGAGGGTGAGAGGGAGTTAGGAAAAGAGTGGGGCAAAGGAGGAACGAAGCTGTGTGATCAAGGGATTCTTCAGCCTCTGTTTTAGTAGCAAAAGCCCTAGACAGAGAGAGAGGCTGGGTTCAAATTCGACTTCCCCCACTACCAGTGTGACCTTGGGGAAACAAGTGACCTCGGCTTTTGGGGCTTTCCCCCTCTCATTTGTAAAACAAGCACCTTGGATCAGATGCCCTCCGTGGTGGTTGGTCGTTTTCAGCCCTTCTCCCAGAAGAGACTGACCGCGTCCCAGGCGCCCCCCCCCCGCGCTTTGCAGCCGCTGCAACTCCCCGTGCCGCCGGCAGATGGGAGTGTGGGGCAAGGTCCAGGCTGGGCGCGAAGCGAGGAACCAGCAGGAAGTGGAGGCGGCCAGAGCAGAGCTGGGCGTGAGTGGCGGGGCTGGAAGCGCTGACCCCCAGCCCAGCTGGTCCCTGGTGGGGAGGGTAAAGGCGTGGGAGGTGGGGAGAAAGCCCAGCCTGCTCTGCACGCTGCCAGTTGTTGGGAGGCTGGGGCAGGTCTAGGGAGGCACAACTCGGGGGCGGGGGGGGCTCCCCTCTTTGTTTGCCCCTTGCAGCTTTCTGGATGTCTTGTAGTCACCGTGCTTTCCACCCCCAGGTAGGGAGGAGACTAAACGGGGGGCAGGGACAGACCCTGGACAGTTCTCAGCCCTGGGGTCCTCGGGGGTCGGGCTGGGGCTGCAAGGGGTGATGACTGGCCTCTCTCCCTCCCAGATTCTGAGCCTTGCGGATCTAGCACGCCCCGTCTTGCTTCCGTACCCCGAGGATGGGGGTGCTCAGGGTGGGGCTTTGCCCGGCTCTCACCCAGGAGATGATCCAGCTGCTGAGGGGCATTGGCATTAAGACAGGTAAAGGGGCACGAGACTACAAAACATACATGCGGGTGGAGGTATGTATGTATAGAGGCAGCCCTGAGTGGTGGGAACTTAGAGAATCCACAAGGACCCAGGTTCAGATCCTGCCTCTGATGCTTACCAGCCAGCTAGGTGCAGTCATGGAGTGGGCATGGCCTTAGAGTCAAGATCTGGAAGCACTTCTGCTTCCAACACTTACTAGTTGTGTGACCTTGGACCTTTGTCAGCCTCAGTTTCCTCATCAGTAACATGGGGATAGTTACACCACCTTCCTGGCAGAAATGTGTACTCTGTAAACCTGAAAGCACCATATAAATGGTAGCTATTATTTTTGTTATTTTTACTTAACCTTTCTGTCTCAGTTTCTTTATTTGTAAAATGAGAAGAATAATACCACCTACCTTGCAGAGTTGTTTTGAGGGTCAAAAGAGGGGCCACACATAAAGCAAAAAGCTCTCTGTAAGTGCTATTATTATTGTCATTATTATTATTATTATTTATCCTTTCTCAGCCTCAGTTTCTTCATCTGTAAAATAATACCTCGCAGGCTCATGGATCAAACGAGTTTGTAAAGTGCTTTGCAAACTTCAAAGTACTAAGTAAATGTTCGTTATTGCTCTAATACAGTGAATCTGATTTGTTGTTGTTCATTTATTTCAGACCTCGCTGACTCTTCATGACCCCATTTGGGTTTTTCTTGGCAGAGATACTGGAGCAGTTTGCCATTTCCTTCTCCAGATCATTTAATAGATGAGGAAACTGAGGCAAACAGGGTTCAGTGACTTGCCCAAGGTCACACAGCTAGCAAGTGTCTGAGGCAGTAAGTGTATGAATTGGGGTCTTCCTGACTCTAGACCCAGCACTCTGTGCCCTGTGCCGCCTAGCTGCCCAAGTGGATCTGATGCACTGGAAAGAATGCTTGGCCCTGGGCAGCTTGAACTAGCTCATCGGAGCAGATTCAAGTCGGAGGGTTCTAATTCCAGCTCTAGCGCTTACTCCTTGTGTGACCTTGAATCAATTACTTAACTTCTGTAGGCCTCAATGTCCTCATCTGTAACTAGATGGCCTTTTAAATCTGTCATCCTAAAAATCAAAAGTCAGTTTCCTTAGTTGTCAGTCAGCTGGGCCTGGAGTCAGGAGGACTCATCTTCCTGAGTTTCCAATCTGGTTTCAGACACTTCCTAGCTATGTGACCCTGGGTGAGTCACTTAACCCTGTTTGCCTCAGTTCCCTCATCTGCACAATGAGCTGGAGAAGAAAATGGCAAACCACTCAAGTATCTCTGCCAAGAATTATCAGTGGAACGTGACTGAACGTCAACTGGACAACAACAGGCATTTATTAAGCACCTTCTGTATGCCAAGCACCATGCTTAGACTGGATATACAAAGAAAGGCAACAAAGAGTCCGAGTAAAATGGGTGATATTTGCATTACCTAATAGAGTTATGAGGAAAGTTTTTTTTTTAAATTTTTATAAACGCTAAATAATAGTAGCTCACATTTATACAACAATCTCAGGTTTCCCAAGTGCTACATGTGTGTTATCGTATTTAATTCTGGCCAGCCCTGGAAAGTGAACGCTATTATTACACCCATCTTATGGATGAGCTCAGAAAAATTCAATGACTCTTACTAGGGTCACGTAGCTAGTAAGTATCTAAGGTAAGATTCGAACCCAGATCTTCTTGAAGTCAAATCCAGTGTTCTAACCATGATATCACACTATCTAGGACTAACTAGGAACAGTTTTTATTACGTGTGCCAGCCTGTTCTATGTTGTTTGGAGGCAGAACTGGCAAGCCCTCAGAATCCACCTGCTGTCCCAGTATAGACTTGCAAATCAATGGATTTCCTCCACAGTCTCCCCCAATGGACTTCATTGGCCCCTGGAAGAGGTTTTGGTTGAATTCTGGGTTACATTTACTTTTATCCATTTCATTTCATTTTTAAACATATTTTTATTGATAATTTTTGTTTTTATGTCACATTCACCTAGAATGCTTTGTCTCCTCATCTCTGCCTTCTGGCTTCCCTGATTTCCTTCAAGACTAGGTTAAAAATCTGACCTCCTACAGGAAGCCTTTCTGAGGCAGCTAGGTGCCATTTCCTTCTCCAGCTCATTTTACAGATGAAGAAACTGAGGCACACAGGGTTAAGTGACTTGCCCAAGGTCACACAGCTAGTAAGTATCTGAGGCAAGATGTGAACTCAGGTCTTCCTGACTCCAGGAAGATATACCCAGCCCTAATAAATTGTTGAATTGTTGAATTAATTGTTGGATGATAATAAACCCTTATAAGTTGTTGAATTAACTTGAATCAATCAATGTGCGGAGGGACCATGCTGTTGTGTGACCTCTCCTGATCTCAGGGGAGGATGCTGGGGTTGGGGAGGTGGGTGGGTGGGTGGATAGGGGGAGCTTCATTTTCTCCATTCTGTGTCTCCTTTCAGTGGTGGACCTTGTTTCTGCAGACCTGGAAGAGGTATCTCGGAAATGTTCCTTGTCTTATAAGGTGAGGGCAAGGATGCCTCTTTCTCTGGAGCTGAGCTCCTGGTTTTAAGAATGTCCAGACCCCTGCCTGCATGAAGGGAGACCATGGAGTAAGAAGCCTGGGCAGAAGGGATAGGGAAGACCCTGAACCCCTTTATCTTTGCATGTTTTCAGAGCACTTACAAGCATATTTCTCTTTCAGAATTGAGAAAGTATGCCTCCCTCCCTTCTTTTCAGAGGTGGGGGCTATGGGTGCAGAATCTGGCATATATCAACAAGGGTTGATGTGTGTGTGATGGTTCTGTTGAACCATTTTTTTTTTTTTTTTTGTTATCCAGGCTAGCTCTCTGGGTAAAGGGAATCAAAGGGAGAGTGAATCTATTTTTTGGATATGAATGTAATATAAAAAATGAAAACATTAAAAATAAGATAAAAATTTAAAAAATAAAATGTCTTCTGTTCCTGCCCTCACCCACTTCTGTGCTGTGTTGGTGGCAGGCCTTAGTTGCTGTGAGGAGGGTACTGCTGGTTCAGTTCTCCTCTTTCCCCTTCAACGGTGCTGATCTCTACGAAGAGCTCAAGACCTCCACTGCCATCTTGGCCACAGGCATTGCAAGGTGTGTTCTGGGAAAGGGACCCACTCCCTGGGCTTAGCTTTTGAGACTTGAGTCTAGTCACCCCAGGCCTGTTTTCATAGAAGGCCTGTGTGGTCTGGGGGTGGAGAAGGGGGTGGAGAGAGGGTCAGCACTCCCACTTCTTCCTGCCGCAAGGTATGATACCATTAGGCAGGCTGGTCACTGTTCTGCTGTTTCTGTGTTTCTCCTACAAACCTTCTAGAGGGCAGGGCCTGGGTTTTATTTGTCTTTGTCACAGTAAATTGCAGTCTGGTGGCTCTGAATGAAAATAAATCAGGGAGAATAATCCTTGCCCCCAACTTCCCAATTCATAGGCCTGCCTTAGGGAAGAAATAAGGTTAAGTCCAGAGCTGAAATGATATTTTTATTTGTTCCTAGCTAGGTGGTGAAGTTCGGGGTGGGGAAGAGTTAGGAAGGAAAGGGATTCATGCTAAACCACCATGTGAAATTTCATATATATGTAAAAATAAGCCAAACATAATAGAGGTTCATAGTGTCCTACAAAATCCTCTTTTTTTCCCATTGTTTTTATAAGGAAATGTTTTGATGTGGTGGTGTTTTTTTGTTTTTTTTTTAAGATCACCTCATCTATAAAATAGGCCTAAGAAATACTTCCTTCCTCATGGAGTAGATAAGGAAATGTTCGTGTTTGTTGATATTTGTCAAGTTTATGACAAAAAAGATTTTTTTTAAAAGGACAAAAAGGAAGTTGGTCTGAAGTGAAAGATGATTATTTCAGTTTTAGACATATTGAGTTTGAGATGACAACAGGACATCCTTCTCTGGGTGTTCTTTGAGCAGATGGAAATACGAGGCTGGTAAATGTTTAACAACTGGTTCTCTAGGAAAAAAAAGTACAAACAACGCTTTGTAGCTTAATATGTATTATTATATAGGTAGGTGGCGAAGTGGATAGAGTGCCAGGCCTGGAGTCAGGAAGACCTGAGTTCAAATATGACCTCAGACACTGACTAGCTGTGTGACCCTGGGCAAGTCACTTAAGCCTGTGTGCCTCAGTTTCCTCCTCTGTAAAATGAGCTGGAGAAGGAAATGGCAAACCACTTCAGTATCTCTGCCAAGAAAGTCCCAAATGGGGTCACAAAGAGTCAGACACGACTGAAATGACTGGACAACATATTAACAGTTTCTCCCTCACTTTCTTAAGTCTAGACGGCTAACCAAACAATAACCCTGATTTGCAACCTTTGCTGATTTCGGGGGTATAAATGCTTACACTGAAAATTTAACCATTGGCTCCTGGTACTAGAGCCTACGGGAGAGAAACGTCTTTACTTCCTTACTACCTTGGAGAGCAGAGGAGTATTTGTTGATACTCAGATGAGAGCAGCGAAGTGAAGTCAAGTCAGAATCTTGGGAGATAGTCACAGAAGGAGGCAAAGAAGATGGTGTTATGATGAGAGGACCAGGATATCAGGGTCACAGAAGGTACAGAAAGGGAGAATTTTAAGGAATAACGTTAGACAGTCTCCAGTCCCTCAGAGAGACTTTGTAGGACAAAGACTGAGAAAAGACCATTGGATGTGATGATGAGAAAATCACTAGTAGCTCTCATGGTATTCTGAGTGGGGTGCTGGGCTTGGAGTCAAGAAAACCTGGGTTCACATCCTGCCTTATTACTCTGTGTGACCATCAGTTTCCCCATTTATAAAATGCAAAAGTCTAATATGGCCTCTAACTTGGTTTCTAATATTAAACTATGTTCTTGAGGAAGGAGGTGGGAGAGGATTATTTCTTTCTTCTTTTCCATCCCACTTCCTTGAAAGATGATTCTTTCCCTTTTCTCTCTGGCTGATAGCCTGGATAAGCTGCTGGACTCTGGCCTCTACACTGGAGAAGTCACAGAAATCACCGGCCCCCCAGCCAGTGGCAAAACCCAGGTATGATGTCAGAGCTTTAACAGGCATGGGGCCAGCAGGGTTCTGTACCAGGTACCAGTATTACAGAGATATTCACGCTTCTTCCAGGGTCTGAGGATGAGGGGGGCATACTGGTTTTTTTCCTTCTCTGGGAAGGCACATTTCCATCTTTCTGGCTCTAGAATTCCCATCCCAGATTTTGCCATCAGAAGTGTGGGTCACAACTGCCCTTGTAGGACTTTGGCTACCCCCTTCCCTTTATGCCATCAGATTGTCCTCTGGGCTGCCTTTCCTTACCCCAACAGCCTAATTTGTCTCAGGCCCAGTTTCTGCTAGTTCTAGCTCCATTAGCCTGGAGGCAGGAAACAGGTGTGTGTTGACAGGTAGACCTACTACCTGATATAATGTAAGTACTTTGAGACCAAGGATTGTTTTGCTTCTCTTTTTGTGTCTCCATACCATTGTGCTGTGCCTAGTACACAGCAGGCTCTTAATCAGTGCTTATTGACCAACAGTTAATTGAGTGGGTACCAGCAATTTGTCAGGCAAGGCTACAGGGCCCCTGCAGAGAAGGGGACAGACTTGGGTTTTGCCACGGGTAGCAACTCCAAAGTTATGTGAGTTGCCTGAGGTCCCAAGCAGCTCTGTGCCCCATCAGCCCGTCTCCACGGGAAGGACCAGGGGAGTCTAGGGAGAGTTTGGCAGAGATTCTCCGGAGGCCTGAGCTCACCCCAGCTCTTTCTTTCCTCGGCCCAGGTGTGCCTCTGCACAGCAGCCAGTGTGGCCTACAGCCTGGGTCAGAGTGTCCTGTACATCGACTCCACCGGAGGCCTGACAGCCTCACGCCTCCTCCAGCTGCTGCAGGCCAGGACCGAGGATGAAGAGGAGCAGGTCAGGGTGGGAAGGACGTCCCTGCAGTACGCATCAGTCCTGGAAATGGAAGCTTCACCCAAAAGAACCATCATCTCACTCCCGTGTTTTCAGGCCTGCGGTCTATCTCCGGGCCTCCTTGGCACTGGTCCCTCCATTGTTCTGGGCCTCTCTGTGCATTTGTGCCCCAAAACTCAGATACTTCTCCCTGTCATTTCTTCCAGAAGGTCTTTAGAGTTCTCCCTGGAGACCCTAAACCTTGCTTTCAGGGCCTGGTGGGACTCAGTCTCCCCCTTCTCATTGGTGTAAGTTCCCTCTGTCTTAGAGGCAGCTATGTGCCGCAGTGGATTGAGTGGTAGACTTGGAGTCCAGAAAACCTGGTTTCAAATCCTGCCTCAGTTACTTATTAACTGTGTGGCCCTTGGCAAGTCATTTAACTGCTACTTGCCTCAGTTTCCTTGTCTGTAAAATGGGAATAGTAATAGCACCTCTCAGGGTTGTTGTGAGCATCAAATGAGATAGTAATTGTACAGCACTTAGCACACTGCCT